TGAAAAATATATGAAAATGCATGTGGGTACTCAAATGAAAGCTCTTGATGATTATAACATCGAAATGAGCTTATATCGTTAAAAATGTCAATAATTAAGAAATGACCTTGTATGATGTCAACTACTGACATTTTTAAAGATATAAGCTCACCCCGATGTTACACTCATCAAGACCTTTCATTTGAGTACCCACGTCAATTTTTCATATATTTATATATATTATATATATATATGTATATATGAAAAATATATCAAAATGCATGTGGGTACTCAAACGAAAGCTCTTGATGAGTGTAATATTGGAATGAGCTTATATCGTTAAAAATGTCAATAATTAAGAAATGACCTTGTATCTTGTCAACTATTGACATTTTTAAAGATATAAGCTCATCTAGACCTTTCACTAGAGTACCCACATTAATTTTATATATATTTATATATTTTATATATATGTATATATGAAAAATATATCAAAATGCATGTGGGTACTCAAATGAAAGCTCTTGATGAGTGTAACATCGAGATGAGCTTATATTTTTAAAAACGTCAATATTTAAAAAAGTACAGTGCAATTTAACAAAAGTCATTATTTAATGAAACAAAAGTTTATTTATTTATAGTTCACAAGTCATGGCAGTCACATAGTGACTGTAAGGTTGCTAGTAATAATAATAATAAAAATGTGACCCATGTTTTTCGTACTAAACCTTAACTTAAAATGAATTTTATGACCTAAAAATTAACCAAACCATCTAATAATAATTTTTCCGAGCGAAACAAAAAATAAACCCACTAATAAATGAATGAATAGTATCATTGATTTTAAATTGAATTTAATTTAAAGCTAGCAGTTCTGTTTGATGATAAACAAAACGATTTCGCAATAAAATAGTCCATCAAACAGTTTCAAGGCTGTAACTGACTAAAATAAATTGCTCAAATGGATTTAAAATAAGTTTAAGTAGCGGAGAGAAGTATTTTATTTCGAAAAAAATATCTGGCGGTGTTATAAATAATTAACTGCAAAAAATGACCTGGGAAAAATAAAATAAAGTGAAAAAGGGTGGAGAGGAATTTATCGGGGCATCAAATAAAATAAAACGAGTATTTGATTTTCATTGGATGTCCTATTAATCAAGTGGCACTAGACCTTTAATTAAACACGAGTACGTAGTTGTCAAGTTGGTCAAGTGATCAATATTAAATTTATGTGATATATCTATATATTTATAGCATCTGAAGGAGAATCGAATAGAAAGCTAAGACAATTTCGCGGCAATTGCTGACACGGAAAAAAAATCATCAACTCCTACAGGCTTCTCATCCAATTATTAACTGGGCTCTTTATTACTCTTTTTATTATTATCATCATTATCAGTATTTTTTTTTTTTTTTTTTGGAAAATTAATTTTAATTTATAGAAAAATAATTTATTTATTCAAATTTTGAATGTTTAACTTTCAATTTAAAATTCTGAGTTAAATATTTAATATTTTAATTATTCTTAAAATATTTAATTATTTATTATAATATCTATTTTTTTTTCTTCAAAATTTGAATTTAAAGTTCAAAAATTAAATTATAAAACTTATCAGAAATTATCAAAAATTTTAATTATTAATTTTGGATAAAATATTAAAGATTACAAAAAAATGATAAGAGATTTTTTTTAAAGAAAATTTCATTCTCTACAAAAAAAAATCCTTATCAATTTTGTCCTCTCTTTAATCCTTGAGCAAAAATTAAAAAAATAAAGACTAAAACTTTCATCTTCTGATTTAATTATCAATTTTTTAATTTATTATTATTATTGTTGTTCTTTTTTGTTGGTATGTAATAATTATATCAGCTAATCGTTTTTTATCACCAGATGTTGCTCGGAAATTTATTCGGTGATAGTTAATAAATTATACTCATATTTTTATTATTATTATTTATATTATTTTGTATGAAAACAAAAAAATGTTTTTACTGTCAATTACTAAGTAATTTATCAACTGTTGTTTGTACGTAATTAATAATTAATGGCATTCTTTCTTCAGCTGAAGAAAATTTAGATACAATAGATAGTATTTTTATCTATCCATTAATTGAATTGCTGTTGGAAATGCAAACATGTATATAATGGGTGTGGGTGATAGATGATGGATTAGAAAGAAAACTTACTAACTCACTAACTGCGGTTTAAATATAATTCATTTGATATAACGCTGAAATTTGATTTATGAGCTCAAGTATACTCGAGCGATCAATTTATTAATATCATGTCAAATTAATTTATTTTGATTTTTTAAGTATTAATAGATAATTTTTAGTTTATAATTTATTAATGCTTTTAAAATTACAAAATTTTTTTAAATATTATTTAAAATTCGAAAAAATTTTTTTGAGTTAAAAAAAAAAAATTAATGATAACTAACAACCTTGCAGTCACTATGTGACTGCCATGACTTGTGAACTATAAATAAATAAAATTTTGTTTTATTAAATAATGACTTTTGTTAAATTGTACTGTACTTTCTTAAATATTGATGGTTTTAAAGATATAAGCTCATCCTGATGTTACACTCATCAAGAGCTTTCATTTGAGTACCCACATGCATTTTTGATATATTTTTCATATATACATATATGTAATATATATAAATATATGAAAAATTGATGTGGGTGCTCAAATGAAAGGTCTTGATGAGTGTATGATCGGGATGAGCTTATATTTTAAAAAATGTCAATAGTTCACAAGATACAAGGTCATTTTTTAATTATGCTAAATTGCACTGTACTTTCTTAAATATTGATGTTTTTAAAGATATAAGCTCATCTCGATGTTACACTCATCGAGAGCTTTCATTTGAGTACCCACATGAATTTTGATATATTTTTCATTTATGCATATAATATATATAAATATATGAAAAATTGATGTGGGTACTCAAATGAAAGGTCTTGAAGAATGTAACTTCGGGATGAGCTTATATCTTTAAAAATGTCAGTAGTTGATAAGATATAAGGTCTTTTGTCTATTACTGATATTTTTAAATTTTGATATATTTTTCATTTATGCATATAATATATATAAATATATGAAAAATTGATGTGGGTACTCAAATGAAAGGTCTTGAAGAATGTAACTTCGGGATGAGCTTATATCTTTAAAAATGTCAGTAGTTGATAAGATATAAGGTCATTTCTTAATTATTGACATTTTTAATGATATAAGCTCATCCAGATGTTACACTCATCAAGAGCTTTCATTTGAGTACCCACATGCATTTTGATATATTTTTCATATATACATATAATATATATAAATATATGAAAAATTGATGTGGGTACTCAAATGAAAGGTCTTGATGAATATAACATCGGGACGAGCTTATATCTTTAAAAATGTCAATAGTTCACAAGATACAAGGTAATTCCTTAATTATGTATTTAGAGATAAAGCATTTTCGAATACAGCCTAAATACCTATTATAATAAATTGACTATCAGTGAGAAAGATATGAAACCATGAAAAGGCCCAAATTCAAATCAAGACCGTTGCAGTGACACTAAATTTCACTAAAAAAACCGATTTGATCATATGACTATCCTGAACACAAAATTGTTCTTATTCTCTTAATAATATAGATAACAATAATAAATTTATTTTTTTCATAGCAATAGTCAGTTAAAAGTTATTTAATTTATCTGTTCAATTTACCGTGTCCTGTTTTTCAGAGATAAAATAAATAAAAAAAATATTGTACATTGTATTAAACATCCCACTGTGTATTTCAACTTGTTATTTAATTTTTATTGAGTAATATGCGTTACGGAAGTTATTGATAATAATTACATATAATTGATTTGTTAGCAAATTGTAATAAATTTAATTAAATTTTCTTTCAAACTATAATAATAAAAAAAAAAAAAATTCAAAGACTAATAAAAATTTATCATAATAAATAAAACCAATATTTTCTAAATAATTCAATACTAATTGTTCTTTGATACTAAGAAGTATTCAATAACATATAATCCTATTTTAATAACAATTATTATTACTTTGTAAAATAAAATTGATATTTAATCAAATCAATTTTATTATTATTGATTGTTAAATAACAATAAAAACCGTATTTTTTCCGAAGAATTTTATCAATTACGTGTCTAATCTTCATTTAAAAAAAAAAAAAAATAACCTATGAAATAAATTCTTTACAATCCAAAGTACTTTAATTTCTTCACAAAAATAACTACTAACAGAAAAATGTAAACATAAAAGAAAAAAATCATAAATTCCAGTGTCGTTAAAACGTCGTACAATTTTAGAATCAGCAATACCTACATACACATAGAAATTACAGTGTAAATAAGTAACATTAAAATTATCCGGTAACCGCAAACTCTTATTCGCGGTTTTAAATACTCATAATTACTTAATTGATCAATTTATCCCGAATTAAAATTGCCAATAATTAAAATATTTAATATCAGCAATATTATATTTTTTTATTTGTAACTGATAATAAAAATTAATTTACTTAATTGATTATTAAATAAATGAACAGATTGACCCGAGAGATCACCGCAAAATTGATAGTAATTAGCATTAATAACAATACTGCCGGAAGAATAATATCTAAGCGGGTCAGCAAGTTCAAGATCGTTTATTGCAGACTCAACGAGAGACTTACCGATCTTCTTTTGCTAATTGCAAGTGTACTTGCATCGCTTAGTGACCCTCGGGTGACATGAGGGCCAGAAGACTTAACTGGTACTGATATCATTTTACAAACTTATTTTTTATAAAATTATTCACTCCATGCCGGTAAAAAATTCAATCACTCACAAGAAGAATTAAGTCAGTAATTTACACAAAATCACTAAAACTTATCACAAAAATTAATTAACATTTTTTTAACTATCAATAATTACCGATAATTTGTCAATAATAATTGTCTTTACTTAAACAAAGGCTTGAAATAAATAAAAAAAGCCGAGCCGGCGGACTGGGATGTCGACGTTCCCAGTCCCGAGTTGTAACTGAGTGTAAGTACTGTACAAACTTTTGAGCGTACTGATTGGACAGGAGGAAGAAAGAGAGGAAAGAAGAATATGTGCCTCTTGCGTGTACGTGTATATTATGCATTAATATTAACTCGTCTTAGTCTGTTTTTGCGAGCAACTCGTAGAGAAGAAAAGAGGAATGAGGAGAAGAGTTTATACGTGAGCAAAAAATATTAATAAAAAATTTAACGTGTATGAGGATTTACGCTTTGTAAAAAGAGGGATTTTTTTAAAATTAACTCAAGGTCAAGACACTGGAATTATCCGGTTTTTAGATTAGCTGTTTATATATTCTAATTGTTTTTTTAGAAATTCGCGAATTCTAGGTTGTCATGTCTTGTAATCATAATTTTAATCGACGAGTTGAGAATTTTTTAGTCTAAGAAAGAAGAATTAAAAAATTTATGAATTTTTGGGAAAATTCAATTATTTTTTTGATAATTTTTTTTAATTATAAAATACTAATAATAAAAATTTAACAGTTTTTATCCAATTTCACCATATTTTGCTCGTCTTAACTTTCTAATAGCGAGAAAATTAAGCTACAGTGCGACACCTAGCGGATTTTTAAAAAAGCTTGAAAATATTGTTTTTCTATTTTTAATTCCTAAATAATTATTTTATTTTTAATCATAAGTAATTTTATTTTCTATATTTAAAAATTAGTCTTTTTTTAAAAAAAGTGAAATTTTGATAAAAATAACTATTATTAACAGATAACAATGCGTATAAAAAAATATATTCTATTATTAGAATTTAAAATTCATGGATTAGAGAAAAATATTATTTTTAAAAAAACTTTAATAATTTTTATAAATTAAAAAAATTCCAATAGCGAGATAATTAGGTTACAATGCGACACCTAGAGGATTTTTTAAAAAGCTGAAAAAGTAATTTTTTTTAATACTTTCAACTTCTAAATAATTAATTTTTTTTTAATCACAAGTAATTTTGTTTTTTATAATTAAAAAAGTTTTTTTAGGAAAAATGAAATTTTGAAAAAAAAATAGAGAATAATTATTATCAACAAATAATAATGCGCATAAAAAAATAGATTTTATTTTTAGAATTGAAAATTCATGAATTAGAGAAAAATGTTACTTTTGAAAAAAATTTAATTAAAATTAAGCATTATTTACTAAATTTAAGTTTCCAGTAGCGAGAAAAATTTTCGACTGTACGCCACCTAGCGGAATTTTTATAAAGTTTTTTAATAATTTTTTTTTCTTATACTTAAACTTTAAAACAATTAATTTTTTTTAAATTATTAATGATTTTATTTGTTTTATTTAAAAATGAGTTATTTTTTAAGAGAAATAAAATTATTTAATAATAGTAAAACATTATTGAGTTAGATATTAATTATAAACAGACAGTGATAGGCAAAAAACAGATCCGCGCTTACGTATCAATAATAAACCAATTGCGATAAGAGAATAATAAAAAAATATATATATATATTTAAATATGTCGCGTGACACTTAGTAAGATTACAGACGTGACGTAGTCGGGCCTAGAAAAAAATGTTTGAATAAGCCCTTGGGGGCTTTGACAAAATCAACAGACCGTAGTTGAACACGTTATCGAATACTAACCGCTCCCTTGTATATTACTATGGTCACTGGCCTCTTACAAAACCATATATTGATAATAATAACTTTAACGACGTAATTTATTTTAACAGTAATTTACTAAAAAATTTATTCCGTACTTTTACTTTCTTTTCTTTTACTGTTATCTTCAAAGTCCGATTAACCTACGGGGCGCCGTATAAATCTATAAAAATTCTTGTTTATACAAAAATAAAAAATTACTGAAGTTAAGATAAGATTCTTGCGGTGTAATGTGAGAATAAAAAGGGGAGGAATTTAAATCTGGAACTTGATGGAAGAGATAAAAAGGAAAGGGGTAAGTTGAGCTAAGAATCTTCACTCAAAGTTTAAATTTAAAATACTTGGTGTAAGAAAAAGTTTTCTTTTTTGGTTTTCCGGACTGAGATTGAGACTCGGTCCTTTAGTTTATTTTAACTATTTTTAAAAAGTACATGACCTATTTTTATCGCAAGCTAAAATAACTTTCCAAAAGTAATATTCATTCGATAAAACTTTTACCTCATCATTATTATTTTTTAATCGTTTTAACGAGATTATTGATAGCTTCAAAGTACTTTTAATAACTCCGACTCCCCTTTATCTATTTATAAATTTATGTTTTATAAATAAACAGCTTAGAGTGATTATATATTGTTTTTAAATTTAATCTGACTAATTATTTATTCAAATTTTATTATAAAAAAATAAAAATTAGTTTATTAAAGTCAAATATTAAAAATATGAAAAAATTATATCGGACCTTTGGATAAATTTTTCTAATATCTAAAAATCGATGAACTATTTAATTATAAAGGTTATTTGAGTCAAATGGATGTTAAGTCGAAAAAAAAACAAGATGGGTACAAAAAATTTGAGTAAAAACATTTAATAGTCAGTAATATAATTTATGCGGGTCTATAAAATTTTATTCTGCAAAAAAAAAATATAACGTCACTGCACGTAAAAGTCGATTGGATCATTACATATTCTTATCTTTTTTACTCTCTTGAATAAACACAACAAATGATAGATTGTCCGGTTGTAGGAAAATCAGGTTCATGGCCTGACATCCCACGTACATCAATAATTGTCTTCATTTTACTGTACTTGAGATAGAATAATGTCATATTTTATAATAAATTTATAAAGAAAAAATATTATTAAATTCTTGAGATTTTATTGTTCGTAATTTTTATCATTTGTAGTCTTTCAAGTACTCAAACGTCTTGACTAGATTTTTAATTTTTAAATAGTCATCATTTTTAATAATAATAAATTTAAAAATTAATATTAGAAATTTTAGTCTTTATTTCTAAAATTCTTGCTCAAGGATTAAAGACAGGGTAAAATTGATAAGGAACTTTTTATGTAGAGAATTAAATTTTCTATAAAAAAAATTTCATTTTTTTGTATCTGTTGGATACAACAGAGCATGCGTATCACATTCCCTTTCCTATTATTATCACTGGCCCAGAAAGCCCTTATTACTATTGTATAGAGTTAATTATAATAAACCAGTCTAGATGATAAGACTGTTGTTCTAACTCCTTTACTCTCCCCAGCTCCTCAAACTCCAACAATATCTTCAAATTTTAGCCATAATAATCACTTTAAACTTTTGAAAATTACTGATAAGTTCTATAAGTTAATTTTTGAACTTTAAGGAGGTACATCGGCAAATAAAGACACCAATATTTGACAGACTATCGCTCACTTACTTCCACTCACGTAAAATATCGAAAGTCGCTAGCTTTAAACATTTTTACAAAAAAAATTAATATTCACAGTTTTTGAAAAAAAATCCTAAGAAAAGGATTATGGTTGTTATTCAATAAAATGTTCATAACTACGATCAGGATAGGGAATACATCGGCTACCCAATTTCAAAACACAGTAACTAACATTTAAATATTTTTTTCAATTTTTCTTATTAAAAAAAAGTTTGCCCGCCAAATTAATGACAAATTTGATTTATGAATAGAAAATACTCAAATATAAATATTTTTAAGAAAAAATACTTGAAATTAAGGTTTAAAAGTTATAAAAAAATGCAGCAATACTAAAAAAAAATCAGGTATAAAAATTTTGCAGTTACTGTGTTTTAAAATTGGGCAGCCGACTTGTTAAATGTACGATTTTTAATTATTAATACGTATAAAGGATACTTAAAAGTACGCGTATTAAAAAATTGAAGAATATTGTAAAAAAAGTGATTTTCCACAGTACCTCTTTAAATTCAAATTAAAAAAAAAATAAAGTAAAATTAATTAAGGACCTTTTTTGTACACTGATAAAAAAATTGACTTGACTCAAGAGCCAAACTTTTGAACCAAGAATTCCATTTTGAAGAAAAT